GAGCAGCTTGTCTCGCTCCCTCCTGACTCTGGCGGTCTCCTCCTCATCTTGCCGTACCCTCACCGACAGGGCCTCGAATGCCCTCTCAGTCTCCTCCTCATGCTGACGGGCCTTGGCCTCCCGCAGTCGGAGACTGTCCGCCTCCTCGGCAAGGGGAGTCAGCTTGGCCACCCTCTATTGGGCGGCAACAAGCTAGGCGGCCACATCCCCGTGCAGCCGTGCCTCTTTGAGGAGACGATCCTAGTTCTCCTTCTGCTCACGAAGGAACTGGTATCTCTCCTGGCTGTGAGCGATAAGGGACTGAAAAAAGATAAATGTCAGAACATAAAAATACGTGAAGAAAGAAGAAGGCGAGAGGCAAGGTCATGTGAATACCCGGCCAGTGGGAATGACGACTTCGCGCAGGGCACCCCTGGCATGGTCCAAAGCTTGTAGCACAGCTGTGATCCTCTCAACGAGACTCTCCCGCTCCATGCTCTCAATGGCATCGTCGAGGATGAAGAGTGTCGACGTCGGGTCCCACGGATTCATCCACCGAAGGAGGGGCTTGTCCTGCGTGGGTGAGTGGCTGCCCCCCGAGGTTAGGGCCAGGGACGATTCCCCACCAGTCCTCTCCGCCACCGCCGCAACGTCTGGGGACCCCTCGGCCATGTCCCCCTCTGTCCGGCCCACGTCAGGTGCCGTCACTTGGGCCACCGGTGGTGCGGATCACACCGCTTCCTCGGGCACCACCACGATTGCATCTGGCTATGCCTCACCTATCACAGTCGCTACCACCTCCGCCTGCGTCGGTGAGGCCTCGACCGGCGGCGTCGCGCCCGCCGCGATCGGCGCCACAAGCGCGGTCGACAGCTCTATCCGCCCCGTCGTCGACAGCGGAATCACCTCCATCGCCGGCTCCTCGATGACCTCTGAGGGAATTCCTTCAGGCCCAGCGCCCGCTTGTACCGTCGAGGGCACAGACACCACCATGGGCGGCGCATGACCAGCCGATGAAGCAGTCGCACCGGCACCGCTCCCGCCCAAAACAGGTGCAACGTCAGCCGATGGCTGCCGCCTCATTTGAAGGGTGACGCTCTTTTTTGGCACCAGCGCCAAAAGATTGTGCTGCCTCAAGATGTTGCGAGAAACAAAGGCGTGAGTCATGGTGAAAACAGAGAAAAACAGGGGAATTGGTGACTTACATCGACGCTGTTGGGCGGCGGATACGTTTGGGGGGTGAACCCCCAGACCCCTGCTCCGCCTCATCGGGGCAGGGCCATTTTGAGCCGCCCCTTGCACCCGGGCAGAGGGGCTTGCTTCCCTTGCATCCGGGGGTGTGGAGGCGGACCCCCTCCTCCGTTGGCACCTCGGGCGCAGCGGCAGATCCGCCCGCCCCGGTTGGCTCTTAGGGCGCGGCGGCAGAGCCACCCTTCTCTGCTGGCACCTCGGGCGCAGTGGTAGATCCGCTTGCCCCTGCTAGCTCTTGGGGCAGGCCGATGGTCCGGCCCGTCTCCACCGGCCTCACGGACGCGCCTTCCCTTCCATGAAACGGGAAGGGTCCCGACCCCTACAAGGATGAGCAGGTACCCGTTAGCATATCCTCGCTCTCTAGGACATCACGCTCGGTGTCATTGACTACCTCTTCATCATCTTCCTCATCGTCATCATTATCACAGTCAGTGTCCTCCCCTCGCTCCCACGCTAGCAGTTTCTGTTGCCTCTTCTTCCTCTCGTCCACCTTTGCCTTCCTCTGTCGCTCGGCCTTTCTCTGCCGCTCGTCGACACCCTCACAGATGGATCCCTCAGCAACGAAGCTGGGTGATCCCTGAGGATGAAGTCCCTCGGCTGGTCCCCCAATCTCAATGTCAGTATCAAGGGGTCAGGTGTTCAATTAAAGAGAAGGCATGAGGAAGTGAAAACTTACAAGGACGATATATCCTGATTCCGGCCGCATCGGGGATGCCCTGGCACCGGGTACACAAAATCAAGGGAGGCGCCCACACTGTCCCAAGAAGGCTCCACCGCCTCCTTGATGCGTTGTGCGACTTCGGAGGGGCAGAGCACCCCCTTGGCAAGCGCCGTCCCATAGAATGACGCCCCGGGCGCCATCGCGTACAAGGGAAGCACGCGCCTCATTAGTGGCGCCACCCTCCTCCCGTGGTAGGCGTCGATGATGCCCGACCCCTTTAGGCCCCTCTCCTTCATGATTCAGATGGCGATGAGGTGGTCCCAAATCTTCTTCTTGTCCTTCTCCGGGACACCCCACTTCCTCCACAAGTTTGGGACCTCTTCGACTAGGCACCTGGTGAACTCTAGCAGGTGGGCGGCTGCGTCGTTCTTAAGATAGAACCAATGTGAATGCCACCCCTTGTTGGAGGTTGATAAACACATTAGCAGGTATTCGCCGACTTGGTTGTTCCGAAGTTGGATGCTGGCGCATCCCATCGGCGTGTTCTTCTCCTGCTTCTTCTGAAGGGTGACGACAAAGAAGTACCGCCACAGATCAAAGTGGGGACTAATCCCCAGGAATCCCTCACACAGGGCAATGAACACCGCCATGTGCTGGATTCCATTGGGATTGAGGTGCTGCAACTCGATTTGGTAGTAGTGCAGCAACCCCCGGAGAAATTTGTGAGCAGGGGTAGCAAACCCCCGCTCATGGAAGTGCATGAATGAGATGACGTAGCTGTCGGGCGGCGATGGCACGTCCTCCTCGCTGGGCAGCCTCCACTCCTCGGCGGCGGTCCGCATGCAGAGAAGACCGTGGTGGACAAGGCCCTCCATGCGCTGGAGGGTGATATCAGAGCGGCACCATGGCTCCATTGGAAGATGGGGGTGGGTGGATGTGAACTCGACGAAGGCTGAGACGTGGATGCGGGGAGCTTAGGCGATTGGCCGCGGAGGTTGCAATGTGATGGCAAGGAGGCAAAGTATGAAACCCTGGGGGCAAACCCTTTGGTTTTATAGGGGCGATGGATGCGAGGAAACCAACCGTCCACCTAGATCTCCGCGCCTGCCATGATCCGCCACAATGTCACGCCACGGGATATGCACACGCAATCCCTATCCTTTCCTTTGGGAAACTCACCGGACGTTTTGCCTCCCCGGGTAGACCAAGACTCGTTAGGAGTAAGAGGAATACGGATAAAAAAAATACATCTACGGCCTATCTGGGCCTAGGGGTTCGACGGTTGGCCCATCAATGGGTCCAACAGCCGCTCCAAGCACCCCTACAATAAGGGATGGAAAGAGTTGGACCCCGTAAGCGACCGGCGCCTAGGCACACGAGCGCCACGGGCATCTCGGCCCATGATTGAGTCTCAGCTAGGCTTACCCTGACCGGATCCTCGCGAACGGGATATCGGGGCCCCAATCAAACTATCCAGCTAAACAACCACCAAATCTCGCGAGAAGGAATCATCGTCTTCAGGACACGCCGTGGGCAACAATAGAGGGCCAGGGCCCTCAGAGTCCCCTCTTTCGAAAAAGCCTCCGAAGGAGTATTCTACTCCTCCGCAGGCTTGGGGGCTACACCCACCGGGTGCGCTCGCGCGCACCTGCTGGCAAGTCAGAAAATCCCCTAGGCGATTCTACATGAATCGTCCGGGGGCTCGGGGGCTACTATCGGGGACCAATACTAGGGTACCCGAAGAGGAGGAGCTAATGACCATCAACGTTGATTCGTCTCGCGCAATCAAGAGCGTGACTACACCGCTTGCCGGGTCCCGCCTCGTTCGGCCACCGAGGCGGTGCCTTGTCTGACCCCCGAGGGTTGGCTCCGCCTCGGTGGGCGCTGTGGCCGGGGCCCTGTCTTGCCCGACCCTCGAGGGTTGGCTCTGCCTCAGCTGACTCCCGAGGGATGGCTCTGTCTCGCTCGACCCCTGAGGGTTGGGTCCGCCTCGCCCGATGTCTGAGGGCTGACTCTGCCTCGCCCTACATCTGAGGTCTGGCTCCGCCTCGTCCGATGTCTGAGGGCTGGCTCCGCCTTGCCCGACGCTGCCTGCGCGACTCCTTTATAACGATGCGTGCAGATAAGGCAGGGTACTCAAGTCAACCACAATACCGAGGACCGTACGCTGCACGCCTGCAGAAAAGTACCGTTAGGCCATGCCAGAAGGGTGTTTTGCGACCTTGTAGGCATGTCAAAGCCCAAACAGTATTGTAGGCATCGACATTTGCCTTACAGTGTTGTAAGCGCCGTCATTTGACCTCGGGCGCGGATCCTTACGGAAGCACACGATAATCACTACGGTTTAGAAGGAAACTTGCATCATCCACATTAACGGACGTGCAGTCACTGTGTTGCCTGCTCCCTGTATGGGTGTTGATCGGACTGTCCGCATACTACCGCGCCGCCACCGGGCGAATGGGACGTGACAACTAGTCGACAATGCCAGACATGGCATCGTCGGTGACAGACACTCAAATAAGCCCCTCCTCGTCGGTCGGGACATGCGTCCGGTGTGGAGCTATCCTATCACCGCTTGCCATGTCAGCGGGGCCCGCATAGAGAAAAAGGAAGACCCGGCGTCCTTGAAGGACTTCCTTTGCCTCTGATTTTCCTCTTTTCTCCCATCTGTAATCCCTGCTTTCTCTTCGACCTATAAAAGGGAAAAGCAGGGCACCACACTAAGGGGATCGATTCAACACGTCACAGCAAAACCACTAGCATCGAACCTTGAACACATAGCTGAGCAGCGACCTAGCTCTCATCATCTATTCGATCTTTCTATCAGATACTTGGGACCTGTCCCTCTCTCATCCGTTTATAATCCCTACTACGAACTTTTTAGTGTTAATAACACGAGCAACAGCCACAAACTGAACGTAGGGATATTCTACCCGAACCAGTATAAACCTTGTGTTTTTTTAGCACACCGTCCGGGCCAGACACGCAATAATACAAATTTACTCGTTAGTGCTTACTCGAAACACCGTCAATGCCGTTTCTGTCGCCTTGTAGCGTTGGTGCTTCCTCAGTTTAGTCATTTCTAGATTTTCCTTCAATCCACGTTGAATTAAAGCAATCCTGTGAAAATTTTTCAAGCAGAATATCAGCACAAGGTAGCTCAATTGGTAAATAGAAAAACCTCTATGATGGATGACAGCTAAATTTACCAATTGGCTAAGTCGAAACTCGGGAGTGCATTCAAGCTCTAGGTTTGTGTTATCTACATTGTCCAGCTTCTGGCATTCTTCAAGATCCTTTTTCAAGTCTTCTGCAGGCAAATGGACATATTCAGCAAGGCGAGGCCTGCTCTTTTGGGGCTCATCTTCACTGCCACATGAATTCTGACTCTGAAGGAACTCATCACAAATTGACATGCATTCTGCCGGTTGCTGAGAGTTTAACAAGAACTGGGATTCCCCCTCCCACCATTTTTCATCCTGCGAAGGGTGCTTATCTTGATCATCAATAACAACATTTTTAGATTCATGATGAAGAATGTCTTCTTTGTCCTTCGCTTTTGTGTGCCCATTTACCTACATATTAGTTCAGGAAAAAAGGGGATCTTTATGGGAAATGCATATGGACTGCCAACTTATATTGCAAATAATATATCAGCAATAGCCTTATGTCTTATGAAGAGACTTGCACTGCATATGGAGAAATAACAAATGTTTTGGTACCTGATCACAGTTATGTTCAGACTTGTCATCAATTTCTTGATTACTATTGTCCCGAAGGTCTTTCGCGTGAAAATGGCTTTGGGCTTTGGTTATTTTCCAGAGCCGGGATTCCATTTCATGCAAGATCCGAATCAAAACATATTGTAAAGTGATGTGCTGCTGTTTCATTATATTTGCCATTCATCGAGGAGAGCGAGAAAAAGGCTAAAAGGTGATTTATTTTTTTGATAATTAATTTTACCCTACATATATATACAACGTGGTGAAAAGGCTAATACGTAGTCTTAAGGAACAGTGACATGCATGATCTTTTTCCTCTCCACTAACCCCATTTCGGACTGTCAACTGTGCATATGGCGGCCATAAATATCTTGAGAGAGGAATTGACACTTGCGTATCGTTCGACATGTCACTACCATACCACTAAGCGCAGAAAATTCGAAAATCAGGTCCTACAAGTTCTAGAACTTTCGAGGTTCCCAGGGCGCTCGTATAATATCGCAGCTTAGTTTAGTCGTAACGAGGGGGGCCGGGGGCCAGCATATAAAAAGCCGGGGCCTGATTGGAGCAAGTACTGTCATCCCACGCTACAATTCACAATTTAAACAGTATTTTTCTATAGAACCAGTCATAGCTTATAAGCCGATTCAACGTCGACGTGGCCGCGTGCGCAGCCACAAACCCTCCCTCGCCGCCGCAATTAACAATTCGCTAATCCGCTCGGCGCAGCGCAAACCCACCCCCCTCTAATCGCCCGCTAAACCGCTCCCGCCCTCCGCCAATCCCGCTGCATCACATTCACCCTCCTCGCTTTTCCTATCCCCACCTGGGTTTGGGGGTTCTTCTAGACTCGCCGATACGATCCTTCTAGACACTTCGATGCGCCCAGCGCCCGTTATAAAGGCCGGCCACATCCGGGCGACGGCACATCAGCACCCGCTCACAGGTCACAGCCCCTTGCTCATTGGATGAATGGATGGGGGGCGGACGGAAATCGCGAGAGGATGCCAAGGTACGGAGAAGCAAGGAAGTTTCTAGACGCCACTGGTGTCTTCTCTTTCCTGTAACTGAGATCTGTTTTTAGAGGGATTTCGATGTCATTTTTTTCTTTTCGGACGTCGTGTGTGATGTTCTGTTGAGCGGTGAGCGCGGCGGGGGTGCACGGGTGATAGATCCGCGGTTGGGCTCTGCTATTCTGGCTATTGCTGGATTTCACATATAGGTTGGGGAGAAGGATGTTAGTCTTAACCGTGACTTACTTGTTCGAATGTGTCTCAGTGTTCCTAGCTGCTCTAGTCCACGGTCAGATTTTGGCCGTCCCACAAGATATCTAGCTATACTTAAATGCCAATGAGCTTGTTTAGTTTCGACACTGTTTAAACCTGTGAAACCAACAACCACGATGTTGAGATCTCTTACATTACATCTCCTATAGCTTGTCCCCTAAAATGCCTTAAAACTTGTCTCCTATAAAATAAAATCGAGGATATGAGACAGCACTACTGTAGCAGATTATCTAAAACTCCTATATTTTTATAGGATATGGGAAGTGGGGGTTGTCTCCTTTATTTAGGAGAAATGATGGCCCTGTTTGGCTGGCTGGAAAAACGGCTGATGCTGATGCTGATTTGTTGTGAGAGAAAAACACTGTTATTTCGCTGAAATGGTACGGGTACGGCTGATAAGTTCAAGCGAACAGGGCCGATGTTTCTTTTAGGAGATCTCTTAAAAATTTATAGGTATAGGAGATGAGATAGAAGATCTTTTACAGCAAGTCACAAAGTATCTTTTACAGCATCTCCATCTGCTACTTCCTCCATTCTAAATTGTAAGTTGTTTTGAATTTTTTAGATACATAGTTTTTATTATATATATCTAGACATAACCTATATCTAGGCGTATATAAAAAACTACGCATTTCAAAAAGACAAAACGACTTACAATTTGGAATGGAGGGAGTCCTTTTAGGTATAGGAGATTGGATAGGATTTCTGGTGGAGATGCTCTTTGCTGATTATCACATTTTGTATTATTGCGGGGATTTACCTTTTGTTTGTTACAAGTAGCACTGATTTACCTTGTTGTTTCATTGTCAGCATTCATTTCTCAAGCAGTTCAACATTTTGTTGCTGGCCGGTCTGCGTATTGCATATGGTGGCACCAAGCATGAGGCAGGAACTGCATTACTTGCAAGAAAGTCACAAGTAAGATACCAAAGCTTGTAGTTCACTATAAGGTGTTTTAGGTGCTGCCTGTTTGGTTTCTCCAACCTCTTGTTCCACAAACAGCCCTTTCTAGCTTCTATGTAGTCCTGTGATTCACCTTTATGGCCTTTGAGTTCACCATTATGGGCCTTCTTCCTGCTGTGTACCCTTCTGTACAGCTCAGGATTTGTAATTTTTCTGATCATAAATCATGAGTTGTTTTATGGGGAATGAAAGCAAAACATGATTTCTATGCCCACTTGAAGTGTGCTTCAACTAGAACAACACGGTTTCTTCAACCAAAACACACACGGTTTTTTCAACCAAAACTTTTTAAGTACAAATTTGAGTGAAATCCACATGCGGGTATGCCCATTGACTATTAGTTATTACCAAGAACTAGTCCCCAAGTCCCCAAATGATGATTGTGTATTACTCCCTCCCTTCCTTCTTATTTGATGCTACAATTGGTGTGGCCAGGAGCATTGATATTCCAGGACCTGCGCACTTGAACTTCTTTTCATGGAGAGCACATTTCTAAAATTTGACGGCTATGTTTAAAAGTATCTAGATCGGTGATATGAAAGTTCCATCACTACCTTCTTTTGGTTAATGCACATTCGAAGTAAGGCATTTGTTTGAATAATCATTAAACAAAATTTTGTTCAATTTACTCTCCCCAAACTATTTCAAATAGATTTGTCTTTTTTTTTGTTTTCCATGTACAACAGTACAAGTTGAGTTTGAAGCTGCAAATGATGTGTCTTCATAGAAGACACCATAATTTATGTTAAGAAAATATATCATGAATTTTTAATCATTATTTTGATAGCTTATAATATAATGTCTAATGATAAATTAACCCTAGACATATACAAAATCTTATGATGAAAAATTAATCATGTATTTTGTTAACATAATTTATGGTGTCTGCTATCATCACCCACATCATTTGAACTCCAAACTTAATATGCCACGTTGCTGTAGGGTGGTTCACTGGTACCAGGCAAGAAAAAAATGAGCGCTAAATAGCTCACTTTGAAAATTTTAAGCTGTTCCAATTTAGCAATCTGCTTCAAATTTAGACATGCTTCTATAGTTGTGCACCACCATCTGTTCCGTTCTAGCTTCAACCCTGGTACTAGCGTCATTTCTTTGTTTTCAGTGGATATAAGGAAATCGTGCAGTTTACTGTTGTATTTTTTTCCTCGAACACGCAGGAGAACTGCACATCTTTGTATTAAGAAGAAAAATGGGTAAGAGCCCTTACAATACACACCCGCACACCAACACACACAAGAGAGTAGACAAATCGTTCGCGCCTTATGCTTACAACAAAAGCGACCTTGTGACTGTTGTATTGTTGACCTTGTAGATAATTCTGCACCGGAAGGTATATTATTGACTTACCAATATGAAAGAGCAGCTAAGGACCAACTAATATGATTTATCAAAGAAATAATGAGCCCGCTTTAGTGCTGGGCTGCTGGCTGCTGGCTGCTGGCTGCTGGGATGGTATCTGACCCAGAGTCTGCCAACATACCTTACCCACTGGAGTTTCGACTAGCATTAGGGAAAAATGTGCATCCAGTTTCAGTTCCAAACCATTAAACTTGTACTATTCCTTATTGTAAAGTTCAGTCATCAGTGAAGCCAAATCCATATACATCATGCAAATGCCAAACTGAAACCCAGTGTATCTTCAATGTGGAGGAGCCTCACGTGACATTATTGATACTACCTGTGTCCTGTACACAAGCCATTTTGCTCACTCAGCTAGTATATTTCACAAATACTTATTGCAACCAGAGTGCTCTGCATTGTCTGAAATTGTTGAAACACCATGGTACTTCTGAACTTGTACTGCATCTTCTTAGTGCAGTTGAAATCTGTAATATATCAGAGCATAGGTTCTTTTTATTATGCTTTCTTCATACTTGTAGTAACTCAATTTGTTTGGATACTAGAAAGAGTATTTACCCCAGTTCAGGAGCCATCAATTCCTTGCATCGATCCCCCTCTCTTTGTTGTGATTGCCTCTGTTCAAGATTAGCAGGGACATCTGCATATTGTGTTGTAATACTAAAGCTGTAGGGAGTGCTAGAGCTTGCATCAGCAACACCTCTTGGTTCACTGGCCTGGAGCTAAAATTGATTTGTTTAACTTCTTGCTGACAAAGCATATTTATTTGATTAAAGTTTCTGCAAAGATCATTAATCAAACCTTCCTTTGTAGTTCCACTATTTGCCATGACATGATATGTACTCTTCCACCGAGTTCCATGTTTTCCTCGTGAATTAGGCTACCCTGTTTCAATGTCAGTATAAATTAAGATGTCAGTAACTTCCATTCATGATCATTCGATCGAAATAAGAAAAATAACACTGCTTTTAGGACTTAACCTTTCTGTGTAACTCTTCAATTTCACTTTTCAAAATATGGTCCTGTTTGACATTATTGCATATTAGATTGAAGTGAATAGAAAACCAAAACGTGGAAATGAAATGGATTATGAGTATGACCTTCCTCATTCTGATACTACGCAGGCTCATTGCAAGACGACTCTCTAAATTTTGGAGGTTTCTTACACCTAGGCCTGAAAGCTCCTCTCCCATTAGTTGCCTACAACAATGAGAAAGAGTTTCTCACATTATTTTAAGTAGGATACTAAAACTACTCTCAATGTAAAATTAAATGGGTACACAGGTGGAAGCAAAGCAAATTATATTTATATTGTTAGGAGAAATTAGAAGGGCAGGCCTGGTGCAGTGGTGAGAGCTGTCTCACTTGAGTCACCAGGTCGTGGGTTCGAAGCAGCCTCTCCGTAGATTTTACGGGGGAAAGGCTTGTCTCGGTTTATCCCTTCCCCATACCCCACTCATGTGGGAGCCTCCGGCACTGGGTCTGCCCTTTTTATTGTTAGGAGAAATTAACTATCAATTTCATTTTCTGAAATAGTGAATGCTGTTAATGTCTTCAGTAACTAGATATTTACTTCATCCTTGGTTGAAACGTTTTGATTTTTTTTAATGTTCTATGAAGTTTTTCATGTGGCATTGAAACTTTCTATTGTTGAGTGATCCTTTCTTTTTTGTTGCAGAATCAATTGCAAGATCATACTTGTGGCTTTCTTGCAAGTTGTGCAGTTGTTGCCTCAAGCTTGCTGCCTCCCTTTGCCAGAGCTATTGGTAAAACAGGAAGTACTGTCAGTTTCTGAGCTACAAAATATAAGTGTAGAAAAATAATTTAGAAATGTAAGCATAGTATACTAGTACATTGCTAAAGATAAAATGAATACTCAATAACTTCAACATGTAGTTAATGACATCTTTTGCAGATTAACAGGATTCAATCAGTTATTGCTGGGGTAGTCTACAGCAAATACATGTGCTCTCTTTATTGAAAGCTAACATGTCTTTGCTTCCGTGCACTCTTTCTTTTGAGAGGCAATGAAGTGGACCGTCAGATGGAGATCTGACTGTCCATGCTGATAGAAGCTGGCTTTTGAATCTCTCTTCCAAACTTCCAGCTCCAACGGTGTTGGAGCATGCTCCCCCGCCAACCGATCACCTCTGACCGTCTCTGTTGGTGTACCCACTGTTGGGTCTGTGTCCGCAATGATGATTTAGAAGAACTGCGTGACCAGGCCCACAGGCTGTCTCCTGCATCACCACTGCACTTCGCCTAACTGCCCTAGCTCCACTGGACCGATTCCTAAGCCAGGAGCACACCAAAACCTCGGCATTTCTGAAACTTCAGGTGCTTGTAGTTTGATGTTTGCTTTTATTTTATCCACCTTTGCTTCGAATAATATGCCTAACAGGGTGGCTTTGGGTGGCTTATTTTCTAGCGACGATGATGGTGGCTGCCGAATGCGGCTTGAAGATGTGGGCTCCCAACTGCTGTATTTCGTAGCTGACTTGGTGCCCCCCTTTTACATAGCACGTGGCCAACAAGCACCAAAGCGTAACTCTAAAGCCTACCGCTTTGAACTTTGCAGCCTCGTATATTCAGAAGTTTTCTTGAGTTATTGTAAGCTCTTTACATTGCCTGTTTGGCAAGACATTTGTCAGCGACTACCTTGTTTATTAAGGTGAAACGCCTCTTCTGTAGTGTTTAGCTTGTTGTTTTGAGGACAATTTCCTTGTATTGAACTAATGTGGCAAAATTGTATATCAATTCATCATGTTTCATGTAGTGTAGGTATATGCATGCATGTATGTTCGAAATAAATATCTCTGGCCTGTTTGGATGGTGGTGTGAGATTCCTGCTTGGTCCAGGCAGCAACCTCAGGTGCCCGATTTTGTGTCTGTGGCCAGGATCATAACTAGTACCTGGGAGGCCGCCATCCAAACAAGCTACTTCAGACACTGCCTGTGAAAGACAACTGAAGGTTGCAGGGATTGCATGGCCTTTCATTTTCAGGGTCCTGTTCACTGGTCTGAAACTTGGCTGAAAACATTGTTCCGGCTTGGCTAAAAACACTGTTCCGATTGAATTGTTGTGAGGGAAAAACACTGTTCCAGCTGAAAAAAGAATCCGAATAAGCCGAATATGGGGTAAACCGAATAGGGCATTATGTATGGAGTTGTACGAAGTTTGATTGGATATATAATTTTTGCTTATGTAAATTTGTTTCAAGCATTCCAAATTATTCCAAAAGGTCACAAGCGGTGGCCGTTTGGTGCGATTATGGCTTGAGCGGTGAGTGAGGATATCTATTTGGCAATCAAACGGCGTTAAATAATCGGTTTCAGACTTTCAACATAAAACAAATGCTGTACCTTATGGGCAAACCTGTAACTTTCTTCTTCCAAACTGGCTAGTGCTGCTACTCATGGCCTGAATGTATACAAGGGTTAATCACTAGCTAGCTAAAAATTAGCTAGTGCATCCAAACAGAAACGCTAATAAGCGGGCTAATTTTTTAGTTAAGTCTTCCACTAGTTATTAACCAACTAGCTAACCAACCATTGTTAATTTAAGCTAATTTCAGCTAGTAATTAGCTATGGGTATTCAAACAGGCCCTGAGTCACGGATCTAAAAAATTTTGAGTTGAATATTTCCCAAGCTAAAGAACGAAATTTTGAGTTGATATTCCCAAGCTAAAGAACGAGTGCTAAGTTAAAAATTAAAGAAAACACACCTTCAAACTATCAAAGCTCCACTACAGAACCTCTATGAAAGCAAAGCAAGTGCACCTCTGAACTAGAATATACACGTATATCTCCTTTTGTGCCTTGCAAAGTGCGGTGGGAAGTTGGCCTGCAGCCTTTTGTCAAGAGAATTGCATGGAACGAAGCCAACTAGAATATAGACATACTATATACTTGATACTTTAGTAAAATTGTCCTAGGAATACCTGGCTTATTGTGCACCCCAAAAGTACTACCATCCATTTTCTCCCAACCAAAGTTACAGTTTTAGGCAATAACATGGTTCTCAAAATACAATTTTGACTGCTATTTTACATGATATATTTAAAAATGTAGCAGAAATGTACTAACATATTATGAAGTAGCTTTTAATTAAGGCAAATTGACAGCATCAATTTTAAATATTCAAACTCATCAATATAGAAAAGTAATTTATAATCAACTTTTGCAGTAGCTGACTAGACATAATCAATTGTCACTATTTGTGACTGAATAAAGAGACCAAACTGATATTGGTCAGACCAATATACATCACATGACATGTGTGTACTACTAACTGCTACTCTCTCCATCTAAGAAAGAATAGAAATCTCACTCTTCGAGAAGGCAATCAATAATCCTAAATTTGATTAGATTTATAGAAAATAGTATAAATATTTTTATCTTCGAATAGGTTTATTATGAAATATATTTCATAATTAATCTAACAATAATTATTAAGCGCCATAAATATTAGTAGTTTTATATATTTGGATAAATTTGGGATTGTTTGACTCCTCAAAAAAGCTAGATTTTCATTCTTTTTAAGATGGAAGGAGTAGTTACCAAGATATAAGTACTTTTTCCTCACCATACCATGAGTTCTGAAGTTGCATTGTTGGTGCCAATCTGCTCCTCTTTTGCTTTTCCGTATCGGTCTATCACAGCTTTCATGCTAGAACTAGAAGAAAATAAAAGTGGAACAAAATGGTGTAGTTAGTGCTTTATTAATTTGTAAGTAAAGTACCATAGCATACAAACGTATACCAACCTACTTGTATTAACTCTATAATGTTTATTAACACACTCCTTAGTCCTTACTAATTCTTCAAATAGTTACACACAGAGACTCAATATTGCACGATTCATTCATTAATAGCTCTTCCAATTTATAGTCGTCAATAATGATATATATACCTCTTCTCATTTTACATTGTCAACAGTGATATATAACCTCGTAGTTTTAGATGTGCATACAAAGATCGGGCAGTGATTGCTATTGCCCTGTTCGTTTGGCTGATAAGCCATGGCTGAAAGTATTGTTGGCTGATTTGTCGTGAGAGAAAAATACTGTTCGTTGGCTGAAAAAGTACGATTTATAAGTCAAACGAACAGGGCGTATGATTCTAATAGTGATCGAAGTCCCAAAACTAAAACTTTTTCCAACTTTGCATTGTTCAGATTGCTCTCTACTAAAAGTAATTTCCTCTAAGCTTGCGTACTGATTTCTATAAAATAGATACTAGTTCATTTTATTTGTTTAGATGATGATGAAACAGCAGTTCCATAAGAAAAATCAAAACCTCCTATCTCATGATATATGAGGTTATCAGATTCTCACTAGGACATACTGTATAATTCTTTCTGTCGCAATAACATGAACATGAAGCGGAAATATTAGTCTCTAGCCTTACGTATAAGAGAACAAAAACAAAGGAACCCGAGACCCAATATATTTCGTTTTTAATCGAACTTAATTAGTTGAATAAAGGATCATCTATGTTAAATATTTTTCGCAAAAAATAATAGGGTCCCTCAGCTATTTCTTTAATCTGCTCATACATCTAGAGCTAGCCAACTAGGTATCTACGCTAAACATTGAAACAAGAAGATTAGATACATAGCAAATTAAACAGATCTGTTAAAGTTAAACCAAGTCTGATCAGTAGGAAATTTGTAACATATATCTAGGGAGAGACAGAGAAAGATGTCTAGAAAGAGAGTCACGTAAATAGGCAAAATGATTCGTACTTGGTGCTGGAGAACTCGTAGAGCCTGCCGGTGATGGAGAAGATGATGAGGCCAACCTCCGCATCGCAGAGGATGGAGAGCTCCTTTGCCTTCTTCAGCAGCCCGTTCCGCCTCTTAGAGAAGGTCACCTGCCTGCTCGTCGAGTTGTCGATCCTCCTTATCACTATCTTCCCCCTCCCCATGCTTCCTTTTGTGCCTCTCAGATCTAGTCTAGCCGTCTAGCTAGGAACAAAAAGGAGCACAGGAAGAAGCAAGACGAAGAGATGGCCGGCCGGCCGGGACGATTGATCTGATGGGGAAGACGGAAGCTAGCCTAGCTACTTAGCGAGAGGCAGGTTCCTAGCTTCCAATTGTGGTTCACAGCCACAGCTAATATACCAACAAAGAGAGGATGAGAGAAGTGCCGATTAGGTTTTATGCACGAATTTGAGGATGCAAGTGGCCAAGTGGCTCAAACTAGTAGTCCTTCTCTATACATACTAGGGACGGGACGGCGCGCACCGCTGCGCCCATATTATTTGCGTGAACAGTAAATCAGGAAGTGGGTAGTAAAGTTACGGGATGAATAGTGCTGGGAAGTATTTAAAGTTTGGTTGAATAGTGTTTTCTATCAGGTAAAAAGAGGGCACGTGGTTAGCGCGGTTGTCCAGCAATTTAGTCGGCGTTGAAGACTAATCTTATTTAGTTTCTCATTGGGGGCTACCTGCTTATTAATTATTCTCACTATATACTGATGTAAACCGTGTTATATTCTGTTGGTAGCACAAATGGAAAGCATCCAAGTGATTGATGTGACCATGTATTGTTTTTGATTTTTTTTTAAAAAGAAAATCTTAACATATGTTAGCAAGATTTTAACAAATGATAATAAATCAGCAGAAAAAATCATTTTTCAACATAGATGAGAAAGAGGACATAAAGGAAAGTAGAGATATATAACACACTTTTTCCCCCTCAAATGTTTACTACTGCTCTCTGTACAAGTACTACTAGCAGGTAGAGCTATGTCCAGATTCTACATGTACAAGGTCACTCATGTATATTTGCACTCCATGTTTTTCTTGAAATATTTTTTTAAAAAAATCCTACACTCCACGTTACTTAGCCTATGAGGAAATCTTATAATATGTTTTTAAGGTACCTCGCCGGTGCTGGGCCCTATTTGCTTGAACTTATCAGCCGTACTGTTTCAGCGAATAACAGTGTTTTTCTCTCACAACAAATCAGCATCAACCATTTTTTCAGGCAGCCGAACAGAGCCATCCTATCAACCATCTTATCTCGTACAATGACAAAGCCACCCACTTTCATATCTCTCAAAGGTTTTGTTAATTTGTAAGTTTATAATAGTGGTACTGCGTCGTACGCTAATTCTAGTATTCCAGTACGCACATCATTGATGGCATCTGCCCTGTTTTCTTTCCATTTGCAGTACAAGTTGCCAATAGATGTTTAAGATATGCATGATCGTGGTCTACGTGAGAGGGAAACATAAATGACGTACGAAGAAAAGTATCATCACGCATCATCTCAACTAGTAGCAATATCCTCTTAGTACAACATATTCTTTGTTCAATAATTGCACTACATGTTTGCAGCCTTGGCAATGTGATGCTTTGAATTGAAAGAACATATCTCAAGGTGCGTGAAATCTTTCACATATATCTTGGCTAATAATAATTAAGTTAGATTTAACCAAACCATCAGTTTCTTAGCCTTTTTGTCTTCTAGTTATTTTGAGGAATCGATTCTTAGAAAGGTGACAAAACCTGCGGGCGGACCTGGTAATCAAACCTAGGTCAGCTATATATAATATGTGCATTGGACCACTGATGGCCCATCTCAGTGGTTTATTACTTTATTATTATCGTTTGTACGGTCATGACCCTTAGTGTATCCCAAAAGTTTTTCCGTATATTCTTTTACAACCAAAATGACACATGTCTTCCTCTTCCTCTTCCATTTCATGGGGCAAACTTTTAAAAAAGGATTCCTATCGTGTTCATCGCGAACTGCAGCCCTTCTAGAATAGCACGTTATATATCAACAAAAACTTGGTAGAAGAAACGGAGAACAAATTGGGAATAACACCAACATAGCAACTAGCATTATACTGTTTTATGCAAGAAATGATGTGTGGACCATCAACAACCTTCAGCAAAGTATCTTATTTTTCGAATAATTAACATCTTTTGTGTGCTCGAATGTAAGAGAGTGAGGCTTACTTCTTCGTTAGAATTAGTAGAGAGTTATACTCTACTCCTTTCAACGATGGTAGCTAGACTGGTAGGTCGATGGACGATATCGAATATATTATCGATGCTTGGCATTAGCACTAGCTAATTACTACTACTTGTCTACTCCATCGACGGGCCGGCCGGGAGGGCGGCGTGCATCAGTGCATGTTACTTGCATCATGCATGATGAGTTTTTTTTATTTATGAAAATGCATGATGAGTTGGTGACCTGCAGGGAGATCGCTTGGAAACTGAAAGGAGAGATTGCCCTCGTCGTGGTGCTCCGGAGCTGCGCCTGGTTGGTCGCGCAGACCACGTGGTACGATGGTCCATGCACGGCCAAACGGACCAATGGAGCTGCGGTTTCGTTCACGATCGCGCCAATCGATCCATCGTGCACGGATAAGCAAAGGGGACCTTCCAAGTTCCGAGGTTCAAACCACTAGTACTTCGCCTTTGAGGAAAGCCCTTTTGGGCTGGAACGAAAAGTGGCTCGCGTACAGTGTACGTATTTTCCATTTTTCCTGTACCAAAGTGGCCGGACAAGTGTCAATCATTGCCGTATGATGAGACAACACCTGTCGAGAAAGGCCTTGGGATGCACAGCCAGCCAACCGCGAACGAGGAGTGTGCAGCTGCGTGGAGGCTACTTTATTCTCTTTGTTATACCCACTACATTCGCCACTTCAAAAGTAGAGTCTCCGCATGCTGCTGCTTAGGGCTTCCCAACCCTCTGGCTAGTAGCCCAGCCTCCCGCTATGCAACTGATCAGCCTGTTCGCTTGTTGATTTCAATTAAATTAAACCAACAACTGATGTCCAACTTGGCTTGGGTATATGCTAAACCAAAGCGAACATGCCCGATGTCCAACTTGGCTTGGGTATATGCTTAGCGGGGCGGGATAGGAGCCTGCAGAGGCAGTATATGCTTACTCTGACAAAAGGCCGAAGCTACTGCCAAGATCGCGTTGTGGCCAAAAAGCAGACAGTGCTTGGAAAAAGAAACGTGCTAAAGCTGCAACCAAACATGTAAACTTGCAGAACTTGTGACGTGAATCTGATATAACAAGAGCAGCAGGCGATGTGAGATTGGGACTTGTTTAGTTGGTGCATGTTTAGTTCCTAAAATTTTATAAAATTTTTTCAAGATTCTTTATCACGTCGAATCGTTGGACGCATGCATGAAGCATTAAATATAAATAAAAAATAAAATTAATTACATAGTTTAGACGAAATTCACGAGATGAATCTTTTAAGCCTAATTAGACTATGATTGGACACTAATTGCCAAATAACAACGAAGTGCTACAGTACCATTTCCAAAAAAAACACCACGGATTTTTTTGGGAAATGGTACTGTAGCACTTTCGTTGTTATTTGACAATTAGTGTCCAATCATAGTCTAATTAGGCTTAAAAGATTCGTCTCGTGAATTTCGTCTTAATTAGTTTTATTTTTTATTTATATTTAATGCTTCATGCATGCGTTCAAAGATTCGATGTGATGAAGAATCTTGAAAAATTTTACAAAATTTTGGGAACTAAACATCACCTTAGTTGTTCCGGAACTCCTTTACCTACGTGGCCTGTCACTTTATCGTGAGGCTAACATTACTGTTAGCCTGCGATGTGGTTGCCCTTAGAACAAGAACATATATATAGTTAGGGTGTTTTTGCCAATAATCAATAGTACTACTAATGTGAAAGTTTATATGCTGTTGTAATAGATTGGATTGTATAGTGGAGTGCAGTGGCATATGCCATGCGTGAACAACATAATACGTGATATTCTCATTGGTAAATCTTATTTTCTTAGATTTACTGTTCTTTTATCGGTGTGTAAATAATATTGTGTTGAAGGAAACAATATATAAGTTTTGGTTGAGATGACCTCGCTATGACATCTCTCAAAAGTCCAACGGACGCTTAATCGAGAAATTGGATATCTTCTCGAGTGGAAACCAAAGGTTAGTTTCGATATATGGCATTTACGACCTTCTCATGTCAAGCCTCCTCTTCATTCCTTCTAGTATTACCCTTCACTTTACACGCACCCTTATCTCCCTTTTGATGCATGCATGGAGTGCATTGTTGCAACAATTCCTCTCTTCTAGTCCGACGCCGCTCTCCCTCTCACATAGTCTCTCATACCCACCAAGAGATTGTTAAAGAAAATTGATGATGGCACAAGAGGGGAAGGGGTTGAATTGGGTCATTAAAAACTTAATATATGACAACTTGAACTATACTGGACAAACTAAGAAAACAATTAATTAGCAAGATTTGCACTTAAATTTATCTCTTGTTCTTTACTTATCTAAACCCATAAATGGCTTTACAACATGTTGACAACCAAAAATGTCCAATAATGAAATTGAAAGTGCATCGAATCCTATCGTGGGTTTCGGTGATATAATGACAATGCAAACAAAGGTCTAATAGGAATTGTAGAGTATTTTAATTTTACGTGCAACCGGGCAGTGGCCAGTGGGTACTACACGCTAGCCACCACTATCCAATGCGGCGCCGCACACGTCCTCTTTAGACTTACCCATGGTTTGGCTCTATTCAACAAACCAGGATAGGAGAGGAGACAGAAGAACAAAGCGAGGGCATCAAATCAAGATTAACTGGATCAAGACAGTGCCTAGAAGAGAGAAGACTAGTGGGCGGGTGGTTGGCTTGTGCTTGTGTTGTGGTGTGGAATTGGGTGAGGCTCTGTTTGGATGTAGATATTCAGGTGGAGGAATTGCAATGGGGTAGAATACCAAATCTGAGTGGAAAGGGAAATGGTTGTAATGCCAATGTTGTTATTTGGATGTGTATATCATTGGTAGTTGGAATCAAAACGCAGTCCCCAGTTTCAATTCATGTTTGGATATTTTCTTCCCCAAACATCTTGAAGGCCCTAGTAGTCCCCTACATCTCTGAGGCGGGCCACAGCACG